TTGGGAGCTCACTAGCTTCGAGTTCCATCGGAACTCTGAAGTTAAGCGAGTTCACGCGAGAGCAATCCCCTAATGAATGACCCACTGGGAAGTTCTCATGTGAGTTCCCAGAAACAAAACCGTGAGGGCGTGGTCAAGGCCCAAAGCGTACAATATCGTGCTACGGTGGAGTCAAGCCCGGGATGTGGTGGGGGCTCGGGTCGGGATGTGACAATTTGGTATCAGAGCCAATCCCTGGCCGGAAGTGTGCCGACGAGGACGTCGGGACCCTAAGGGGGATGAATTGTGACATCCCACATCGCCCAGGGGAGTGGATCCTCTAAGCCTTATATGTATACTCTCATCTCTATCTAGCACGAGGCATTTTGGGAGCTCACTGGCTTCGGGTTCCATTGGAACTCCGAAGTTAAGCGAGTTCGCGCGAGAGCAATCCCATGATAGATGATCCACCGAGAGGTTCTCGTGTCAGTTCCCATAAACAAAATCGTGAGGGCGTGGTCAAGACCCAAAGCGAACAATATCGTGCTACGATGTATTTGAGCCCGGGATGTGGTGAGGGTCCGGGCTGGGATGTGACAAAGACAATATTTTGTAAACCACATGTAAATCAACTCTTTAATGGAGGTGAGACCTACTTGTATTGTGGACCCCACATCTGTTAAAAAGATGTTTTATATTTTGTTTAGAAAATGTGGTCTCCTTAGCATTTTTCAAAACTATAAAACCAACATGATTTTGCCCTTTATTTATATGGTGATGCTAGAGATAATACATTTTCAGACCATATTTTGTAGACCACGTAAGATGGGGTTGATGATTGAATTCCTTATTTAAATCATTAATAAATGAATCCGGCTGTAAAGTGTCATATTATGTGATTTACAGAATATAGTTTAAAAAGAATAAATATAAAAATTAAATATCAAATTTAAAATATGGCCGCATTCATTTTTTTTTTTTTACAAAGTTGTCGAATAATACACGTACTTATTTTTCGTGTATTATACCCGCTCTGTATTTACTAATTATGGTTTCTCTAGAATTTTCCTTATTTATATAGTTTATGGGGAGATGAGTGATAGCAACCTTTGTTTTTGGACCTTTCCACTTCTTCAAATAACTGATGTCAATTTTTTGTTGAATATATGCGATATTATTTACATTAAAAGGGTGAGAGAGTGGACTAAGCCTCACACTGGGTTACCTATAATAATTTAGTTCAAATTCATCTTTGGTGAGAATCGAACACAAAACCTCTTACTTATAAGTGAAGATGAATACCTCTTGACACACCCCGACCCGGGATGTCCACTAGGACTCCGAATCGAGCTGTGTTGGCCGACACCTGGAGGGTGACGAAGCCATAAAGTATGATGATGTGGAAAATGTGAATACATTCAATCCTAAGAGTGCCTAAATACCAGAATGCGCTAGTGAGCAGGAATGAACCCACTTCACACGTGACGTTAAAGCATAAACAAGTACAGTAGAGTAAATTAAGAATCGTACCCTCGAAATAATCTCCAATACTAAGAATCATCACGAATCTTTGACAATAAGAAAGCTCAGTTTATAAAACCTAGAGGGTGAAAACAAAACAAGGGTGAGTGGCCCTGGAAATAAAATTTTAATAGAAACCATATAAAATATTATAACCCCTCGCTACAACACCTATATAGTTTCCAGAAAATCATAAATATACCACAATGCAACATCTCATCAGCAATATCAATAATCATGTGATTAATAACCCATACTAGCACGCAAGTCGGAGTCACCTATAATGACCTGTACGACTTACCCATAACTCATTACATATGCTAACTCATCACATATTTCATCACATATGCTAGCTCATCACATATGCTAATTCATCACATATCTCATTATATATACTATCTCATCACATCTTTCATCACATATGCTAGCTCATCATATATCTCATCACATCTGCTAGCTCATCACATATCTCATCACATATGCTAGCTCATCACATATTTCATCACATATGCTAGCTCATCACATCTTTCATCACATATGCTAGCTCATAAGTCGGAGTCACCTCTAGTGACATGTACGACTTATCCATGGCTCAATAAGTATACCTGCACACGAGTCGGAACCACCTAAAGTGGTCTGTAAGACAGAACTGAGTATAAATAAATACGCCCAAGTGCTACGATCACGTGAAAACTGTGCGAATAATCACGGGTCACCTACGAGTCGGAACCACCTATAGTGGTCTGTACGACAGGATTGTGCACCTACCTTGGATCCAAGGTGAGCGTAAGGTGCAGGAGGTAAACATCACATGAAGGACTATGCCCTGGCCATGGATAGAAGCACTAACACCAGAGTGCAAGTTTATGAGCTCTCAATGCATCTCAACATAACATGTACGATTCATGGGCAACCCGTCCGACAGTGTCGAGGTTGCTTAAAACATAATATAGTCATGCCATAACTCCATCATTTCAACTAATACCATAAACTCACCTGAACTTACCTTGTTGTCCTGTGTTCACCTTTGCACTTCAAGCGTTCACAATAATTATGCACAGGTAATATATATATAGATAAACCATGATGCAATCTAGTACTCAACCATGTTATAGCATTTTCAATTATACATATATATATATATATATATATGGCATAAAAATGCATAAGTTGTAATGCCCTACTCTTGAGGTATTTATTTTCTGGAATAATTATCGGTGATAAGCCCAACTAGACACTAGTTTAATTAACTATCATTAATTACGTTTCCTTACTTCAAATTCTTGATTCTTCACACATTGATTTATGACTAACATTTAACCACTAATTCATAAGGTTAAATCTCAAATTTTCCACTAATGTCCCTCACATTACTCAATTCCATAAATAAGGCTATTGTCTCAATTATTTAGTCTCATTTATTGTATGGCTACATCTAACATCTCGTTAGACTGCCTACGTACCCTAAATAGGGATCAAGCCATTCGTAGTTCACAATAATTACTTTAAAGCATTCACAGTAATCGTAAGCAATAATCAATTTATACACACACACACACACACACACACACACACACACATATATAATATACGATAGAAAGGAAAAGACCCACTCACCTGAGGTCCGCGCTACGACTTCCTAGCACGCATATCGAGACATCACGAACCATCGTCGCCTATAACCAATTATCAATCACATCTCAGAGTTCTGACGGATAAAAATACATAATTTACGTAAAACACACCCCTAAGATTTGATCCGGAAGATCCGCATCACGGATTTCTGATTCGTTATTTCCAAAGATACACATTATGCTTCTAGAACAACATCCTAAAACTTCATTACGATCCAACGGTCTGATTTCCGCCAATTGCCAAAAACCAAGTGGCAGTCAACATTTTATTTTATGAACTTACAAATCCAATTCGGGAAGATCCATTCATCGGATTCCTAATCCATAAGTTTCTATGGTCCTTAAATATTATGTACTATAATGTATTAAAATTTGGTGACGATCTAACGGTCGGATAGTCGATTCATAGCTTTACCAACGTATCTTAATGAATTTAGGTCCAAACGATCAACCTATGATATTCAATCACCAAAACTGAACTCAAGACATCTAATTTAGCCTAAGAATAATATCGACGGTCCCCTGGCTACATGCCACCGTGAGTAGCGGTCGGCCGCCCCTACTCGCCAGAAAATCCAACTATTTCCAAAAATTACCAAAATTTACAAGAATGAAGATCTCAATGAGTGGAACAACTTTCATACCTGTAACTAAAGCCAATTTTTCCAAGAAAAGCCTCAATGTTTCCAAAACCCGTCGGAAACCCTTGAATTTGGGTGTTCTTGATTCGACTCCAAAGCAACTTTGATGCTCCAATCAATGAGCTTTATTCTAGACCTCAAGGAGAGTCTAATGGTGGTAGTAATTGGATAAAATCATTTCAGATTTGGAGGATCGAAGACACGGATTCATCATGCCCATGGGTACAGTTTTCATCAAATCAAAGCCAAACTCCATAAATTTTGGGTTGTAATTGGTAGAGGAAAGGTCATGGAGTGTTTCCTAAGTGTTAATTTGACATGAATCGCCGGAAAATGGGTGAAAATTGGCCGGAATAACCCCGGCCGAACGGGTTGGGTGATATGGGTACACGGGTTCAAAAAAGGAAGAGGGGAGATTGGTTCCCTCCTTTCCCTCCTTAATCTCTTTTCTCATTGGTTGCTTGGTCCTTAGTTCCCTTTTATTTGATTGATCCCTTGTACCTTAATTTAATTGGTCCTCATCCCACAAAATGGGAATTCAAATAATTTATAACTAATCTTTTAATAACCCAAAATCAAACGTCTGTAATTATACCGTTATAATTCGGACTCGCAAATGGCTTTCGCCTATACGTTCGTACCAATGAATACTACGAGGATATGCTAAAAGAATAAATCATACGTCTCGATATACGTTGGTCAACGTAAGTCAATACCCTCGCCTCTCAGGGCATTTTCGTAATTTCATACCTTTAAAATTTATAAAATTCTAGAACTAGTGACGGGTTGTTACACCTCTAAACCGTAACACTAATGATGAAAGACAATAACATTAATGCCTTTGATTCTTGTCCTCTTAATAAAATTTAAAAAAAATGGTTTCTTTCATGTTAGGCAAATCATTTCAACGGTATTTTAACATTCGTGTCATATTTCCATAGTATATATTTTACTACTGGTTCCTAAATGGTAATGCTGATTTTCAGTTGAAATATGCGAAGCTTGGCTTCGTATTTAGGATATTTTGGGCACTTACGTATGATTAGTTGTTTCTTTTAGCTTGATTTGAATTTGACATCGTACAAATAAGACCTAATCTTGGCGCTTGGCTTGCCATCCAAACTCAGACAGGTGAACTCTTTCAAGCAAATACATATTTGATGACGGTTTGTACTCGAATGGATAGAAGGGTATACACAGTGGCGAAACTGGGCTACAAAAAGCGTATTGTTCCAAAATCCTCAAATTTTGATAGACCGTTCTGAAAAGAGAATGGAATGTTTAGTTGGGAAAAGTTGTGGAGAGGAACCAATCTGCCAGCAACTCATAACTTGGCAATGTTTCTTGAATATACTACCGACTCCTTTTAAATATATTTAAATATATCGATCGAACAACCCAAAACACCGCCGGATTTAGGGTGCTCTTCTAAAGAATTACATCACACAGGAAGACAGGGAGCGAAAACGAATAAGAACGCCAAGAACACAACGATCTTTGATTTCGGAAACAAGCTGCTTGTTGAACCCTTTTCCTATTCCTTCGGTAAAGACGCTGAAGTTGCTTCAGTATGGTTTTCCCCAACTATCAGTTGGGCTTTTGTTTCCTCTTCCTTTTCCTCTTTCTTCATTGCTTCGACCTCTTTCAGGTCCAAGAAGCTCGGCTGATTGGTTGATGACAGTAACCGTGCCCACATTCTGTCAGTGATCACAACCTTGTTCTGCCTCTCGGTCACCCGCTGCGCATGAAAGAACAATCAACTTGAGCATACAACTCAATCACAAGAATGGCAATTTATGGCAGTATCCCAAAATGAAAGTGCTCTGGTATCCCCAATAATGTAACATCGATATTTTGCCTACGTTCTTGTATCACTTGCTTCATCGTATTGCCTATTAGCTTTTAAAGGGGAATGTAACATGCCAGAGTTTCCCCACTTCTGAATCATATGCTTCCCTTCTTTTACTGAGATAACTAATTAAACCAAGAGTAACTTTAACTTACACGGAACGGAATGTAAGCATGCCTCCCGTTAACAGGGCCGACAGTGAAGCCTGTGTATCCAGCCATCGCACCATGAATGGCACTGTGAGCAAGGAGGGTGCAATATACATTATCAGATGCATTACTTGGAATCGCACGGATCATGTAAGTAGGATCTGTAAGAAATGCACAACAGTTGTTAGGTTATGTAAGTTGTTCCATCAGGCTGTACGACAAACATCCGTAGAATCAGACAATAAACGGGTAATACTTAAAAATCCGAAAAGAGGCAATGATTCAGTATAACAAACCTATATATTTGAGATTTATAGCCATATTTCTCTGTTTCGAGAAGTGGTCCTACAAGAACATAATCAAAACCAATACAAATGGTAAGAAGTGGCATACCCACGGTCAAGTCACCTAAAAATGTTAGGGATAAACAACAGCATATGATGTCAACGTCATCAAACAAGTAGGCTACATTGCTTGTAACTACATTGTTTGCTTAAGATTAAAAGCATTTGGCTGCTTGACAGAGTCTTCTTGAGTCCCCCGCCTCGTTTTCTAATGGGCAGTAATATCAAAAGGAAAAAAGGTTATCGTACATCCCAACCCTATTCCAGAATGGACATGCTTACAACAGCGAAAGGTGTAATAAACAGACAACCACACTAATGAGGGCAGGGCTAACAAGATTTCTAACATCAGGCATAGAAATAACGCTGGCATCTTACCCTGATATTTTGAGATAACCAGAGACCAACATCTTGGAGAAGCTTATTTCCAGAAGCATCCTGTTGGTTCATGCTTTCAGCAAGAAGCTCTTGTCCTGCACCTTCAGCCATTACTATAACCAGGTGACCATCCTCCTTCAGTCTTCTTTCAATGTATTCATAAAGTCCGCCTGGTCCTTCCAGATAAAAAGGTGACTCTGGAATCAGACAGCAGTCGACGTCTCGGCTACCAAGAGTAGCATACATTGCTATGAAACCTGCGTGACAAGAGATTATCAGAATAAGAACTACATAACAGTGACTGTTCTACCCCACAGTTAGTCTCGTCAATGGATGCACATCGTCAACGACCCAATATATACTAAAGGATATCTAGTCAAAACGCAGAGGGCACAATTATTACACATGGTCAGGGAGAATCAAATTAACTGGAGAAATAAGATAGCATCAAGTGACATAATAACATCACATCGGAAGCCTATTTTCACATTATCTTCCTAAGATTATAGAGGAATGACACTTTACCACTGTAGCGGCCCATTAACTTGACGAAGCCAATACCATTCTCAACGCTTTCTGCTTCAACATGAGCTGCATTAATGGCTCGTTGAGCCTCCTCAACAGCAGTGTCAAAACCAAAAGACCTGTCTATAACCTAAATAAAAGCAATTATGGAACCCAAAATTAAGACACTGCTTCCAAGAGTGCTAGATTTAGATCAAATACATAAGACAAGCAATGCACGGGATAAGGGGTACCGGAATGTCATTATCGATGGTTTTGGGAATTCCTGCCACCACTACTTTGAGGCCACGCCTCCTGATTTCCTGCATTGAATAATGGCAAGTAAATAACAAAATATTGGGCTCAACTTACTTATAATTTCATCCCATATTGTTGCCCAACACTCTCAAGATTGTTGAATCTTCCAAATTCCTTGTGCCTGGGTAGCAATGGAGATGAATGCTAGTATGGCCACATCAAACGGAATTACCTCAAAAATCACCGAAGCTCCTTTCTGAGTTCCATCTCCTCCAATTACATAAACCTGACGTGCACAAACATAGTTAGTCTATGCACAGAATTTGTTTGAAGAAAGAAAAGGCAACATAAAATGAAATCTGAAAATCTAGAGTAACATAAGACAAGATCAACCTGATTAATTCCTCTGTCCTGGATGCTGTCCACAATCTTTGAGGTAACATGCCCACCTCGCGAGGTTCCAAGGATGGTGCCACCTCGTTTATGGATGTCATTCACAACCTTCGGTGTTAAGGGGATTGTATTTCTGGCATAAAACCCTCTATATCCACCCTACATGGAGAAAATTACTTCCTTAGTTCATGACATTGTTCAACCGTATGATAAAAGATTATCATTGAATTGAGGGGCCAAATTATCCACCAACAGGCCTAAAAGAAACCCACCATTATGCTGCAATAAAATTATAGTCTGTTATATTTACCTCATGTAGAATGAAAGCAAGGGAACAAAAAAGGTTCGGTTAACTTTTTATTCATGCACATTTACACAATTTATTCTCCTATTTTGCAATATGAAGATGGAGATTTAAAATGTCTTTTGAGTATATGTCAAAATGCCTTACCTCTATTCCGAGAATTCTTCTGACACCATACATGTGGTACAGACCGCATACTATTTCCCTAATAACTGTATTCAGTCCTGGACAGAGACCACCACATGTCACAATGCACGCATGCACATCATTTGACTCGAAATACACCTGAGAAATATCCAATTGCATGTGATTTGTCTGGAATGCATAACACAAGGACGATAAATACAGGGGAAATATTAGGAATGTAAAACCTTCTGACGTGGTCCAGAGCGTCGAAAGTGTGTCCCCCTTGGACTATCCTTATGAACAACAATCTATACAAAGCAAAACATTATAGAATTAGAGAACCTGAAGTTGTAACATATAGAAATGTTCATATCAGTACAAATTTGAGCAAAAAACAAATGCATTATTAGTAGAGCAAGAACTGTATATTACTCACCTTTTGAGCAACGGTATCATCTGCATTAACGAAATACTGCCTGGCCAAAGCAAGATCAATTTTGTGAATTATAAGATCACAACAAAATGAGTCGAACAAAACACAATTGCAGTGAATGTGAAGCAAAGGAGCTGAAAGAGTCAAACTTACTTAACAACCGAATAGGACGGATTGTCTTGTAATGGATTGGGATATGTCTGCGAGATGCCATAAAACATATAAAACTGCGCGTTAGATTTCGTTTCCCCTTGCAGCAAAACAATCCAGCACTCTTAGCAAAGCACAATTGTTAGAAACACAAAAACTATAGAATTTGTTTTTCATGGATAATTAAGGGACTGTTTGGGACTCTTCTGCTCGCTTTTACTATAAGTTCTTTTATTAAAAACACGCAGAAATATTCATTTCAAATCCAAGTGCTTCCTCGAATAGCAGTTGGAAGTGCTTGACGAAAAGCCGCTTCTCCAAAAAGCATTTCTACAACCCATAAACACTTGAAAGTTTTTCTCCATACGTAATCAGAAGCACTTCTGGTTGGCAGAAACCGCTTCTAACTCTTCCAGAGGCACTCCAAACAGGCCCTAAATGTCATCACTTTTTTTCATTGAATCAAATCTAGAACAAATAATGTTAGTCGTAACAATTTACAATATCCACTGGGCGCAAAATACCAAAAACAATTAAAAATTAAAAGAAAAGTCACCACAATTCTGGTTACTGAAGAAACAACTAAAAGCTCAAGAAACTAATTATATGGAAATCAGATTGCTTCAAACTTAAAACGCAACTTAAACAAGTCCCAGAAACAACAAAAGAACAAATCGAAAGCTTTTTCGTGATGGATCCAGTCCTCCCAAAAAAAAAGCAATCAAAGTCTGCAAGTAGCATGTAACACTGATAATCCGATTAACTTTTTACTGATCAGCCAAACAAAGCCTTAGGAAAGAGAGAGAGTTACGGGGAGATCGGGGATGTAATCAACTAAGTGAGGAACATCTTCGAGGACGTAGCCACCGGGGCCGGTGGCGATTTGAGCTCGGAGTTGTCGGAAATTGCCATGCTGCCACTGGAGCGGCCGTTCACTCGGGGAGTGGAGGGGCTGGAGGTGGGAGGGGAAGACGAGAAGTAGCGAGGGTGATCGGGAGTCGCAGGGTAAGAGTTACTAGGGTCGAAGCAGCGGAACCTGGGCCTAGAAATGGAAGCGGAGCTGGCCATATCTCCAGATTCGGGACTAGTACTAAAAAGGCAAGAGACTGCACCGCGTATTTGTAGCCGTTGATGACGATTAATCGGACAGCTCCCACGTATTGACTTGGAAAATTTACTTTTCTGATTTCATTTTTTAAATGTGAATTTCTTGGGCGAGAATTTAGAACAGCTTCAAAGATTTTTTGAGAATGTATTGAATTATTTCTACGTACAAGGATGGGTTTGTCAATACACAATGCACATCTTTGTGATGAGGGTATTATTGTGTTATTGGTTTGATATGTCATGGTGGTGTTAAACGCGTTCCACCCAAGTCAGCCACTTTCTTTCTTAGTATCTTTTATTGAAATTATTTATGTAATCGGTTATACTACGGTTTTTATTTAAATTGTTTTAATTTGAAATTGTGTATGAATTGAAATTCAAGAACTAACACTAAAAGTCCTATTCTGCTAAACTCTATGATCTAAGAAATTTTCGTCACTCACTGGTTGATATTAATCCAACGGTGAAAGGGAAAGTAGAAATTTTCGTCACTCACTGTTGATCTTAATCTAACGGCAAAAAAATATATATAATAATAAACTTATCGTTAAACTAAGGTCGAATAATGATTGACTCTTATTTTCTGGGAATTGTTATTAGCACTCTAAAAATATCATTCTACACTCCAAACTTTCTATATTAGGAAAGAAAAATACACTTGTGAGGAGTGTTGAATGAAATTTTTAGAATGACAATAATACTTCCCTATTTTCTTAAACCATTAAGTTTGAGAGAATAAGATTGCTAATTATGTCAGAAAAATAAAATAAGGTGGTGAAGTTAACACTTGGCCAATATACAATTCACGGTCGAATAATAAATTAATTTTCAGGATTATGAGGTTACGAAATCACATGCATGAGGTTGCAGCTCATCTGCCTAATTATCATTTTTGACACACCCCGACCCTAAAATCAAGGCGTGTTGACCGTCACGTGGGTGTGACGTAACCAAAAGTGCGACGCGGAAGCAAAAAGGTAAAAGAAATACGAAGGAATAAAAACCAACTACTAGCATTAATATCCAACTAACATGCTAGAGTGAGTTTAAGTTTGAAACACACATAATCAAAGCATAAGCACTAGGTGCAGTCAAGTAGGACCATTACTAATTTACAACACCCGAAGGTGAGTCCTACATTTAAGTAGTCTGTCAGAACGCCGTGGAAATCCTCGTGAGCCACCAACACTGCTAACTAGAACCTGGAGGAGCGCAAAACAAGATTGAGTGTGTCAGTAAAACAAAGCTTTTCGAAAATATTTCATTTAACAACACTTCTAACCCCTCGCTGTAAAACTTGTATACTTTCCCAGAAAATAGTATATATATAACCACATATAACAGCAAATAACTCAAATCACAAGTCTTTAACACTTTTCAGGAAAAATATGCCATGCTATGCTTCAAAACATAATAAGGATATAACAGGTGAAATAAGGAATCAACAGGAGACTCTGCAGCTGTCCTGTACGGCTAATTCTATAGCTCAATATCCAATCTAGCCGGAGTCACCAACTGTGACATCTACGGCACTACTCTGCACACAAGTCGGAACTACTTGTAGTAGTCTGTACGACAAGAATTGTGTAATAATACGCTCTAGTGCTTATCTCATCAACAACTGTATAATAATCTAAAGTCACCTACAACTCGGAACCACCTCTAATGGTCTGTACGACATGTCGGAACCACCTCTAATGGTCTGTACGACATACACCTACTTGGATCCAAGGTGAGCGTGTGGTGCGAGGTGAATAATATAAGCACTAACACTGGGGGTGCAGGTTATGAGCTCTCAACATAAATCACATCAAACAATAAATCACATGAACAACATAAAACTAACCTGATACCCACATGTGAGTCCACAGCACCATTTAACATATATGCATCAAATACTAGTTCATATATTTCATATAATATGCATGCATGACATTTTAAAACATACTTTCATTTAAATTCAATGTCTGGGAAAAATCAGTAGTATATAGGTATATACAGAAAATAACTGCCCACTCATTGGTAAGTCGAAGGGTCGTAACCCCCGTGACGCCCTTGAATGCGCTCGTCCTCGGGATAGGTCTCACCTAAATACGAAACAACTATAAAAAAGTTATTTTAAAGCACATAACTAACAATATGTAATAACTTCTCATACGATGCTCAATTTGGGTATATGAATATACCACAGTGACCTACTCGACGTCACGGACGTCGAGATATTTTTAGAATAATTTTTCAACGTCGCACGCTCCCCCACGCGCCGGGAGAGGCACGGTGCTACGCACCCCCATGCGCGTCATCCTCTACCTCCAGATGCCGGAAAATCTCGCCAGCGCCGGAAACTGGGCAGACCTGCAATCGCCCTTTTCTCGCTCGATTTTGCACCATTTTCCATGAAATTTTCACCAAAACTTCACAAATTTCAAGAGGAAGAAGGCTATACCTTTTAAAACTTCCAAATCCTTCGAAAACTCATCGGAATAATTTCACCAAAACTGGCCACCTTCAAACTAGGGCTTCCCAACGTCCAAAACTTCCAAACGAACGTCCCCGAGCTTCGTGGGAACCTCCTAGAGCTCACTGTGAGCTTGGATTGTCCTAAAAACCAACCATTACGAAGTTTGTGAACAATGATATCAAACGGGGTTACGGTTTCGACGTGATTTCGAGGGTTTCCAGTTCTAAAAGTAGTACCAATCAATTCAGGAGGTTGTAAGGATGAAGGAACTCACCTTTTTGACGTCGATCTGCGAAGTTTTGAGGGGTTTGGTTCCTTGTCCGTACAAGTTCGAAAGAGTGAGAGAGAGAGAGAGAGAGAGAGAGAGATAACTGAGAGGGATGAGAGATAGAGAGTACGGGGTGAGTGTGTATGTGTGTCCTCTGTGTGTGTGTGGTCCAACCAATTCAAACCATAAGCCAAAAATTCTTTAAGTCCTTAGTTCACTTTAGGTCAAACTTTAACAATATTACAAAATTAATCCAACTTAAATAAGTCACATGTAAGTCACCACTTGACGACCAAGGACAAATTCGTAAGTTCACATCCTCGAATATGAAATTCCGGGACGGGCTGTGACAATTTTGGCATGTAATATACCGTGGAAATTTTGGCTCTTCAGATTGAAATATTTATAGGCTATTTAATAACTATTTTATTTTTAGTATTTATATTTTTTTTTAATAAACGATAGCATTATTGAGTTAAATTGTCAAATGTTAGGAGGAAGTAGAATCAACAGGATCGAATCGGTACTAGAGTGCATAGACATTATTGTTTTCCGACATTGTGGTAAATCGTCATCTGCTTGAAAATTTGTTTGATACTTACTTTTAGTTTTCAATTTTAACTGAAAACAAAAAATTGAAGACCAAATTTAGAAAATAAAAAAAAGTAGCTTTTAGTTTAAAAAAAATAAATTAACATCTTATTTGGTGATGCTTTAAAATACGTCATGTTTAATCATGATATATTTATATAAAGAAAGTGTATAAAAGTCATTTATCTTTTTTTAAAGGGAACTTTAACGAAAAGCACCCGGTACTGTTCACTTTAACGAAAAACCACATTTTTACACTAAAAAGTCAATCCTGGTACTATTCACTTTACCCTTTATTTTGTCCTTATCATTAAAACTCAAAGTTTTCAAGCCATTTTCATTAGTTTTCCTTTTTTTAAATCCCTCATTCCTTTTAGTATCTTTATGTAAGTAAACATGACCCTAGTGCATTTTATCCATTGTTTATCAAAATCAATAATGTCAATTTCTAAACAGTTTTGATGCCTTCATTCATTATTCACGCTGGTATAGTGCTAACTGGTGACGTCGAGATGCATGCCTGATGGCTGTTCCGTCGCTTCATGTGTCACGCCTTTCGATTCAGATTTTTATTTAAGAACAAACAATATTAACTAGATTAAGAGTGGAGGAGTGAGTTTAAGCTTAAAAATTGATGAACAATAATGTAGTTCAAATTCACATTTCGTAATAATCGAATCTAAAACATCTCACTTAAAAATGATAAAAAATACATCTAAATCATAGTATTAAGTAACTTTTCAATTTGATTTGTTCTATCAAATAAATAAACTAATGAAAGTCACTAAAGAAGTCGGGAAGGCAAATTATTGTGATGTATGACGTTGTTGGAGCCCGCATGGGTTTAAGTTGACTTTAGATGACTTTTTATATATAAAGCTAACAATCTTTTTTGGGGTCACAAACTTCACTACAAAATTTTGAACAAATTTTTTTAACAGAAATCCAAAATAATGCACCCAATAATGCAGGGGTATTTTTATCATTTTAATAGTGTTTTTAATAATTAATTTTTTTGTACAGTTTTTTTTTTTAATTAGTATCTCACAATAGGCTAACAATAATGTGATTCAATCCGTTATTCATTAAATATTATTTTCTCTATTTTTAAACACTTTCAAAACATCTTAAAAAGTGTGTAATACCGGTTATAAAAAATGTCTTTCGCACGCGCATAATAATGTGATTAAATTAGTTGTCAAATGATTGTTTTTTTTTTTGAACAAATGATATTATCTACACTAAGAGGGAGGGGATGAGCTTAGCCTCATAATGGGTTAGCAATAATGTGATTCAATCAATTGTTTATTAAATATTATGTTCTCTATTCTTAATGTAAATTCAATAGAATGTAGATGGAAATTGAAAGATCGATTTCTAGCATGATCTAAGATTATTCATTTACTTCAAATATCTGACTTTCCTTTTGTAATTTCACGCATATAAATACATTTAAAACGTGTAAGTCACGCGTAGCACGCTGTGATTCAAAAACTGTCTTCTGCATGCACGTGAGCGCGTGCATGAAGGCTATTAGAAGAACAAGCGAGGGAAAAAGAAAAATATTCCAATCCAATCAACCATGCAAAGTTAGGTATTGTCTTATTTCTTCAATCTCCTACTGTTGGAAAACAAATATTTGCAGTTATATTTTGGGTAGTGATTTT